TATAGTAGCGAGCTCTAAGGGACAGCGAAATTCATTTAATTCAGGGTGACTGAGAAAGTCACAAAGCACAACAAATGCTTAAACATAAGCACATGATTTTGTAACACATAATGTGCAAGAAAAAACATTACCACAGTGCCAGTTTTTGAAATAAGAAAAGAGAAAAAAAAAAATCTTGAGCCAGATGTTAAAGAGTTGCAAAATCTTTCATGCCTTTCTTGTGCTATCCTGATATGATATGCCAGGCTGCTGATAAACTTCATTATCAGCAGCCTGTCGAGAAGCCCTGCGAGAATCTCCTTCTATCTTTGCTTTACGGTTTTCAGAAGCTACCTGTCTGTAGTCTGCAGTGTTTCTATCTGAAGATAGCATGTTATCTGGAATAAGGGCACTTTCACACCCCAACAGATAACTTCTCCTTAGTTTATCATCCTACAGTACATATGCTACAGAGGACATGGCAATGTCCTGCAGAAAAATCCTTCCCTATTATAATGAATTACTTTGCAAATGGCCTGAAAATAAATCAAATGTGGTGCACAGAAATTACCTAGTCACATTCTTTCATCACAATACTTATTAAAACCAGCCTCCTAACAAATGAACATTTTATCATCCACATGCTCAATAAAAATGAAATGTGCTGAATGCACACACACACTAACAGAGTAACCCTCTACAGTCCAGCATGCTAACATTCTTCATTCGTAAAAGGCCAAAAGTATTTAACACAGGGAGGAGTAACAGGAAATGAATGAAAAAGAAAATAATGTTGTCCTCTATGGATAGCTTCCAATCTCAGTAAGGAGTATGGCCACGTTGATTGGCAGGTGACACAGCCAGTGTTTGGTAGGCCTCATGCACTACTCTGAATAATTAAAACTGGAGCTCTTTCCTGAGTGTGTGCGTGCTGTTGGTGCCTTTCGGAGCATTTTTAATGAATAACCCTGGCTATTATCATGGCTTCTAAGCCATAATATTATGCTTCCTGTGGGTGGCTGTAGCTCAGGGGGTAGAGCTGGTCACCTACTGACCAGAAGGCTGGTGGCTCAATCCTAGTCTGTTCCAGTCTGCAAGATACTAACCCAAGTTTCTCTTCGATGCATCCATCAGAGCAAGAATGGGTGTGAATGGGTGAAAGCACAAGTTATGTGAAGTGCTCAAGATAGAGTAGAAAAGCATTATATAAGAACCAGTCCATTTACCATATTGTTGGGGTCTCTAAACCGTTCAAACAATAAAACTCAATTTCCTATGACATAACTAAATATAGCACATCCCAAAAGGTCGATTCTGTTCATCTGGACGCAGCGTTTTCAGTGGGAGAAACGTTTCATCACTCATCCAAGTGACTTCTTTAGTCTCAGCTGAGCACAAAAAGTAATGACTTTTGTGTTTAGTCGATTACTTGTTTTTGAGGGTAAAACCCACATACTAAACTCTGCTGCTCAACCCTACAAATGTGGCACCATTTAAGGGGACATAAGCAGACTTTCCAAACGTATAAGATTTAGATAAAGTAATAGCCAACCCCAACTCCACAACATGGGTAGGTTGCTAACATATTTTCAGAATAATTGACCCAAAGTTCCTATTATAAAACTGCTAATTTATGGAAAAAATGAAATTAAAGAATTTGGTCATTATGTTTAAACTGGTTGTGTGCACCCCCACCTCCCTTACTCGAATGTTCCCAGTCACAATGGACCAGTCAGTTTTAACAAGTCTTATATTAACATAACAAACATTTTTCACCACCAAATTCAGTTCAGTGGGTAGTTCAATGAGTCGTTCACTGAGTCATTCAGTGGGTCGTTCAGTTGGTTTCATTTATTTGGTCATTCACTGGGCCATTCAGGGGGTCAGAGGTCAAAGGTGGTGGGGGGTGGGTGGATTCCCATTAATTTCCTATAGTGGTCACTTTTGACTGGGAACACCACAAATGAAATAACGTTGATTAAATAGTCGATTTTAAATCAAATCCTTAGTCAGACTATACAATACATTATAAACACAGAGGGCGTGTCTTATACAGGATCATTTTATCGATTTACAGTGTTCAGCAGAACGCTGATCATTTTATTAAAGATGAAAGACTTTAGACAGTTTTTCAACTCTCAGTAATGCCATAGTGATCGTTTGATATATGGACCTGCAGCGGAGTTTAGGCCCAGACACGGCTAGTGACGTCAGACTGAACAACCGGATAGTGTAGCCACTGCACATGTAACTCTGTATCTCTAAGCCCTTCAGGCCACCAGTGTCTGGTTCTGTTGCTGCCTCGTGCTACACACATCCTTAAAAAAAAAAAACAGCTCACGTGTACCAGCAATAGATTATTTATCTCTCAGTCCCATATGAAAGGCTTTGACCAGCTAAATATAACTGAGTCAGCGACGTTGCGGTCTACCATCTGTGTAACTACCACGTACTGTCATTCAAACTACAGCCACATTTTTGTGTCTTTCTTTTTCAATGCTATAACTTTTTTCAATGTAAATAAATACCATAGAAATGTTATTTCTAAATCTTTGAAACAAAAACATTACCAACAAAGAAACACATCTCAAATCAAAGCAGCTGACACAGGTGGCCAGAAAGAATTTATAAGGTCCTGCGAGGGAGCTGAGCGAGCTCAGGGTGAAGGATGGTGAGGATGGTGGTGATGGGTGGGAGACTGCTGTGAGCGGATGTTTGCCATGGGAGGAGTGTTTGACTCCTCTTCCAGATATATCCTGGACTCACTAGTTCTGTGCCTGCTCTGACACCAAGGGACATGTGGCTGTTTTTTCCATACACATGTGACATGACTGGTATTTAGAATGGGACAGAGAAAGTGCAGGCAACTTTGTACAACTATACATCAGGAAGGCAGTCTTAAATGACTGTAATAAATGAATAGATGAATGTGGTATTTAAAATTATTTATGAGGTACTACGAATGTTAGCTCAAGCATATGCAATTTACATCAAAAACATCGTCAACATAATGTTTCTAGACTCTCAGGAATAAACGTCCAATACGTCCAATACAAGAAGATGCCAATGTGTCCGCAGACACTCGACAACACTCTTCAAAAGGTGCGACTTTTATTTCAAAGGCAAACTACTGTTACTTCTCCTGTTTCCAGTTTAGGACACACTTTCACAGTTTCACTACGACTTGGAGAACAGTTGGTGAGTGTTTGCAGACACGTCAGTGTCATCCATTAAAACTACAGTGAATACAGTGTCAAAGGTTTTGACAACAGGTTGTATCACATCAATACAACTGGCAGAAACCTCAAACAAATATGTGCATGATGTCAAAGAAACCAGAACAGTTATGTTAGAAATAAAGTATATATTTCTGCATTAATGTAACGCAAAGAATCTCTGTGAAGGATGTTTTCATGATGTTAGCATGTAGCAGGCATTCATAAATAGGTCGGCTTTTCCCATACATGTTGCAGGTAACATTTCCCAGATGATTCTGCATAAATCCAGTAAAACAGGCCCACTGGATTATTACTTCTAATGGATTTCAATAAAATACTTTGCTATGGGCTGTTTAGTAATACAGTGGAACCCCGACTCGTTCCAGAGGGTCTTTCGTATGTCAAAATTTTCGAAGCATCTTTTTCCATCGCCTTTTGAGTGAGGTGATGCTGGCTGAAGATGAAGTTCTTGGTGGAGGCTGAAGAAAGCATACGTATGCATGCATACATACGTACGTGTACATGTACATAACATTATGGAATTTAATTCTAAACATACTAAAACTTACATTTATGTTAATTAATGTACGTATGTACACTGTGCAATGATATTTCATATTTATGCCTTATGCCGGCCCCATTATGAATGAACGATAGGCTAATTGCAAACGAAAAGCACACGAAATAGCGCACTGCAACAACAATACGTCTTTCACGTGGAACAGCAAAACACATTTCTCAAACGGATTTCGTTACACAGGCACTTTGCCGTTAAGTGCCTTCGTAACTTGAATTTTTTATTAAATGGTGTCTTCGTAAGCCGGGGTTCCACTGTACCAGCATTGCTACACAGGAGTGAAACATATAGAATGTCAAAAGTGCCTTGAAAGATCAACATTGTCTTTGAATCATAAAGAGACAAAGTACTACTAATATAATTTACATGTTACGATATGCTAAGATATTTCAGGTTATTTATCTTTTATTTTTGGAAATTGATTGTTTATTAAATGTGAGTGCTGCATGGATGTCAAAGTACTTAATTACATTTAAAAAAGACAATTTTCAGTATAGTATATACAAGTATATCTTACCCATGAAATAAAATGGGTTTTAGAGCTGTGGTGTAAACCGACTAAAGTTATTAAAAAGGGGAAGTGATTAATCTTACATATCTCTACTGCCAAGGTCAATTTGCTACAATGTAATGGAAAATGTTAAGTTCAGAAAGATGACACCGACCCAGTAAGGAGCAAAGCAGTACAAGTTATGAAAAATTCCTCCTCTTTAGGAGAAGAAATAAAGTTGCTCAAAATGTTCCTACTGCTTCAGAAGTTTACTTTTACTATTTGATTCATGATAATAATGTTTTTTTTAAGTTACAAGGCTGTCATTAGAAACAGAATGAAACAGAACGTTTTTACACTTGGCTGAGGTAGACATAGACAAATGGCCTGCATTTGTATAGCGCTTTTCTAGTCCCTAAGGACCCCAAAGCGCTTCACACTACATTCACACACTGGCGATGGCAAGCTACATTGTAGCCACAGCTGCCCTGGGGCGCACTGACAGAGGCGAGGCTGTGTGACATGAGACACATCTACATTTTTGCCAGGTCTAAAAATTATTTTGTACAAGCTTTTTGTTAGTTTAACCCCAATTTTAATCCAAGTTTCATATGAAAATTGTACTAAAAAATCCATGCTGCCGTTTATGTTTGTATGCTAAAAAAAAGCACAAATTAGGATCCAGAAGAAAACATGCATAGCAAGGCTTGTGTAATCTTTTTTTTTTTTTACTCACCCTCCTCGGGTTTGATGAGTAAAACAGGGCGATCTTCCTCAATCTCTTTCACTCCTTCCTTTTCCTCCTGTCTTCCTTCACTGTGACGGTTAATCACCATCTGATTTGGCTCTCCACCAGGCTGACTTTCTTCCAGTGTAACTCTCATTGGTGGCTGGGTGGTGGTGATAGACTGGAATACAGGTGTTGTCAGGGATTCAGGCCGCCTTTGGGAAGGAGTGACGGGCTCAGAAGTAGTCTTTTCATAAATGCTGGTTGGAAAGCTGCTCTCTGAGTCCTCCTCGCTTCTCTCTTGCACTGTGTCGATAGTGTAAGGCACATCCTTTCCTTGAGGCCCAGACACATTCTGAAAAGTTACTATTTCTTCCTGCTTCTCCCCCTGCATCTCTTCCTCATTCAACCTTTCCTTCTCATAAACTGTGAGTAGCTTCTGCGTTTCTTTTGGACCATTTGAATTTGCCTCAGGATGGATGGGAACCTCTGAGCTTTCCATGGTGTACAGTGGAAAATGTACTGTATCTGATCCTCTCTCTTGACTGGATTGGATCTCTGTATCCCTCTGTGGAAGACTCACATTGGTCTGACTGATAGAACCCCTCGGTGCCACGCTATCTGATGTATTTTTGTTATGTGCCTTAGTTTCAGTGCCTCTCTGAGGATAAATGGCACTTTCTGAACCCGCATGTGGATATTCAGTATGTTTTTCACTCTCTAATTCTCTGTGTAATGGAAATACAACACTACCCAAACTCTTGTGGCCATGCAATGAATCGTCTAAATCTGTCTGTGGACGTAAATTATTAAAAAGGACACCTTGCAAACTTGTTAGACCCTGCGAGAACTGCCAAGAAGATGTGGCACGCATATTTGGCATGTCAGTAGTCTGCTCTAGTCTCAGGGGACTTTCTGTCACTTCTTCTCTGCCTGAAGGATGGTCACGAACTCCATATCGTTCTCTCAGCGCCTGCTTGCCTTGCCTGTCAAAGCTCTGAAGAGAAGAGATGCGGTCAGGTTTGACAGAGCCTTGGGACACAGATAGAACTTTTTTAAAGGAAGAGGAAGATGGGGTGGGAAACAGCAAAGACTGTGGGTAGGTCTCTGGAAAGTCTGTAGGACCATAATCATAGTCTTCTGGTTTCTCTTTATCAAGCGGTGACAATTTAAAGAGAGGAAGATTTCCATTAGGAAGGTGATAAGGAGTGGCAAATTGATCTGTGTGGCCTTGTTGATCAAACCTGTATGGGAAATTATCATGCCTGATGACTGTATTATCCTCTGTGGGTGCAGCTAACATGGGTTTATGAACTTGCTGCGGATCACAGTCTGGTACCGGGTAGCACATGAGCTTCCCCCCTTCATTAGGGCAGTGGCAAACACGGCAAGGGTCAATGTGGAAGGAGTATCCAGCCTCAAACTTTTGTCCAGCATGAACACATCCAACTCGTTCGCACTGCATGCAGCCATCTGCAGGCTCGGAAACCTCGATGCAGTTTGGTGGCATATCAGGACAGCTGATGAAGTGGCAGCTGATCCGGCCCCCTCCTACAGGACAGGAACACTCGGTGCTACCATAGTCAACAAAGTAGGAGTCTCCCTCGGGCACCTTGCCATTCTTGAACCCAGCACTGATGCAGTCGTAGTACTGGTATCCCTCGCACGCACATCCTTTTTGTAAGCACGAAGCACAACAGGCACCGCTCTCCAGGACTTCTTCGATACAGTTGTCCAGCAGGGGACAGTTTGTGCCAGTGCAATCAAGCTGGCACAAACAGACACTCGAGTAGAAAAAAAACAGCGCACACTGCAGTAGTACTACTTCAGCTTGAGCCATGGCACCTGGTATATGTTCAGTAATGATGAAGATCAAGTCTTTAGATTATCTTTAATGACTAATGCGAATCACCTCTGCTCTGCAAGAAACAGGGAAAAAAGACAGAAAGACAGGTTTATTTCTCAAAATGCAAGAAAATAAACCTCTGGCTTCCCAGTTTAGCGCATAAGAGTCCAATTTTTACAGCCTTGCCATCTTTTTAACATTAAGACTACATACTTGTCATTATCATCAGCTGGAGTGCACTGTTATGAATCATTATGCAGGCTTTCATGATGAAACCTGGAATCTGCCCAGCTTCTAAATTTCTAGTGCATCTGTGATTATCTCCATAAAAACATTCCTCTCATAATCTTGTGTTGCAATCAACCTCTAGCAGTCTAATAGCTGAACATACATGAGATGCCTCATAACAGTTTAGCTGCTGAGTTTGTTGGAAAGTCATTACACTTTAAGAAAAGCACATTCTCTAAGGTAATTAGCAGGGTAGGGACCAAAGTGCTTGGCCTCCTTTAAATAATGATTCTTGTTGGAAGTTTCAGACTCAAAGTGATTTTATTTACTTCATTATTTCACTTCATCAGGAAGGAAAAAATCTTTCACTTATTTTACCATACAGAATGTGCCAAAAACCCATGCTGCCTTACACTACATGTTCTCATTTTGAGAGCGTTCCAAGAACTACATATTATGCTTTTGTAAAAATGCTTTTGGACTGATCTAATTCATCATCAGCGATACTAGGTACATTTTTCCCTGACCTTTAGGTCATCTCTGCAAATAAATACACCCTCCCTTCTTGGACTGACATTACGTTTCTAAGCACTGAATTCCACAGAGAATTCCTATGAACATTGTTGTCAGGAAAAAAAGAAATTCTGCTCCAAACAAGGACCCGCATCGTCTGTTAATCCCACCTGAGTCATGAGTAATACATCTGATGAGGAAAACAGCTCATGGCCTTAACAGATTTGAACTGCTTAGCTCATTATATGTTTTAAATTAAAAACTAATTTCCTTAATTTGTTTTGTTTTGTTGTTTATTTGTTTGTTTCTTTGTTTTACCTCATGCCATAAATTCTCAATATAAAACTTTATAAATAAAAACACAAATCAAAATGTTGGCATTAAAGCCAGTGTCAAGAAACTATCAGAAGCATTTATCACTATGATTTTTCAAAAAAGTTCCCGGAGGTTTTGAGGAAATTCCTGTCAGAGCCTGCCATAAAGTGAATCACAATTAGGTGGTTAAAATCTGACTCCATCATAATTATATGGGTCCAGAAAGTAGGGGAACTACACAAGATCGAAGCCAAATTTATATAAAGTAGAGACCTGTAATGAGCCAATTATTGCAACGCTGTTATTCACTCTGTGGCAACTGTGTATTACACTCTCTTAGAACCCTTTTCACCAACACAGTACTGGGGCCTAATCCAGAGCATATTTCCATTCGTTTTAGCTGCAAACATGAGTGGTGCTAGTGTCGAAAAGCAGGCAACAGCACAGGTCCTTGAAATTTCTGGTTTTAAACCACCAATGTGAACAAGTGTAGTTGGAGCTACCGCAAGAAACTTTCCCCCATTTGCTGGAAATTGTACCAACTTTTGAAATGTGATGCTAGCAACATTTGCCTCTCAAATGCAGGCAAGTTCTCAAAAGGCATCAAGGCTGAACTCTTTCCATCTCACAGCATCCTAATGGAAAAGAGGTGCACAATGCTAGCCCCTTTTAACTGCCCCTTTTCATACAGATGTATCCGATGTAATGCAATAGCAGCTTACTTCATGCTATTCTGGAGGCTTTCTGTTACCACACCTACAAGTTGGCTCATGACAATGTGTCAGTGAAAGTGTCATGCACCTTTACTGCAGCAGACACAATAAAAGCTGGCAAGGAACGGCTGCAGAGGAATGGAAATACAGCAGCCTGGTGTTTCCCAGAGCTGTGAGGGAGGGGGGGGGAGATTCCTTCATTTCTGCCTGCCAAAACACACACACACACACACACACATACACACACACATACACCTATACACACACAGCTGAAGTAAGTAATGCATCGCTCTGACAAGGCCTGAAAAAATAGTGTTTACTTTAAAAAAAGTTTTCAGTACCAGTCTTCATCTGTGCAGTGCAAACTCGCTTTGGAGAGCAGGCAGAAATATTCATTTACAGCGTTAGACGTTAAGAAAAGTCCCCCTCAGTAAACTCGCGACCATATGGTGCAAACAAACTGTAAGCAACTCTACAATTTCGCCGCTGTTTTAATCTGTCTTCATCGCATCTGTAACTTTCTCTTGATAAATGAGTGCGGCTACAGCGGATTCAAACAGAAGGGTTTCGAAAGACTTTGCATCTTTTCGCACAAACAGCAGCAACCTGTCTTCACCTGATAACCGTGGGGAAAAAGTTGCTGCAACACCGCATTCAGACACGGAACAAACGTGAACACCGGAGAAAGTTTGGAAAAGCTCATCTGTGCTGAGCGACGCGTAAAAGTTCTCAGCGCAACATCCATGGAATTAAGCTCAGCCTGATTTTAACGACGGCGCACAGGCTGGCGACGAAAAGCTGCAAATACTGTTTAAGGAATAAAGCCGGGCAGAGACGCTGCTTTGTGTTACCTTGTAGAGAGCCGCCGGTCCTCTGTGCGCCTCCAAATGTGAACCTTTTGACCATCGACGTGCTGTTGGGACCAAGCAGGCAGGCTGAGGGGGAGGTACAAAAAGTTTCCCTGCTGGAGACTCCGGAGGAGATCCCATCCTGATCCATAATGAAGAGCAGGCTCTGCGGGCATGGGCCCACACAATACAACTGCTAAAGATTTGATTTGGCAGGACAGGTGTTAAAAATAACAAGTTGTTATTACAGTAATTAAAGAGTGAATTAAAACCGTGCCTATAAAGCAGACACAGGGCTCTTTTCAGGAGGACAATGCCCCTGGACTTGTTTCCAGCCCCCTTTTTCATTTCTATATTGAGGAGACTGACAAAAGTCTCACATTGACAGGTGACAAAGTGAAGTAAAAACCTAAACCACTGAGGCCTATAGTGAGGGCTGCTCTGGTTCTGGTTATGCTGCCATGGTTTGGATCCTTGTCCTCTTACAGGGAAGCAAACCAGTCAAAGGCAGTTCTGAATGATCGCTTTTATTCTTGTATGAAGCATCTGATTTCTTCGAGGATGACATGCATAGAGCACGTAGCATCACCGAATGTTTGACGAGACCTGAAATAATGTCAGTGTACAGTTTTATATATCATAGAGATGTTATGTCTATAATGTCTTGCTTTTTTTTGCTTTGAGTGCTGACCAATCATATTTGATATTTGGTTATGTGCAGGTAAACAGTCAACATAAAGGGCAAAAACAGTTGACTGCATTGGCATAAATACAACCTGGAAGCCATCAGCGTTAAGAGAATGACACACAGGAAATGGTCCAGAGATGAATCAAACCCAGGCCCCTGCAGCATTTCATCAGGTGAGCGGAACCAACTGAGGTGCAGTGGCACCCGGGCAGAGGAAAGCACTGTTTTGGAAACAGGTTTGTGTCTGATTAAACCTAACAAAAGAGTGTTTTAACATTCAGACAGGCGATATGTACCCACACAGATTTGTTATGGGTCGTTCCAGAGGTTTAACTGATCAAATAAAGCTTCATAATCAAGACACTGAGAAAAAGATTGATGCGTTCACGTTGTTCTGTAAAGGGCTGTAAAGAGCCCAGCAGTGACCACCTGTCTACCTGCCTGCATGGCATCTTTTAGATCGTTCTCTTCAACAATTTATTTTCACACTTTTTCTTCTTCTAAGGCAAAAAAAGCACTCGAGTACATATAGTAGATCACAGTTCATACATCACTGTTGCTGCAAACTGTCTTCAGGTCAGTTGTATGGTTGGTTTGCTGCAAATTCAAGCTGATATATGTTCAATTCACCAATAAACAGTTTGTAAGCGGCTCACAGTACAACATGAAACCATCTGGATGGGTTTTAGGGTGTGGATTCTGTGGATAAAACTTGTTCCACACGACATTTCCTGGGAAAAAGTTGGATTAATGCCTTGGACTCTTTGGTGAGTTCCTCAAGATGTTCCTGAGCAGTGTTTGGGAATGCTGCTGCTGTCAGAGAGTTTCGTGGAGTGCATGTGTATTACAGGATAACATTGTCTCTAACGAGATGATCGTTTTTATTGATATTATATTCATATTCTTTTTATTCAAAAGCATCTGTCAGCAGTTTCTATCTTGTTTTGTGGTCTTCTAATGAGGACGCACCGCTGCTAAAAGCTACTGATGTGTTTAGTGACCAAAGATGATTTAGTATAGTCGGTTCGTGTTGAGAACTTGTTGTTACACATCTGTTTTCTGTTGTTTGTCAAGAAATATAGAGTGGTGGCTTGTAATTTCTGCTAATTGTAGTGTTTATGTTAACCTCTTGACATCTACCAGATCACTGGGATGGGGAGGGTTGGGTTGTTGTTTAACAAAATGCTAAACAAATATAGTTTTAGAAACTTAAAGATCAAACTTGTTCAACTTCCTTACTCTGTGTTGTAATATTGCCTTCTGGTATACCAAATATGGGTGGATGTAAATCGAATCCTAGCCCTAATTAAGTTTCCAGAAACCCATTGGAAATTTCTCAAAATGTCCCTTTTGTGGAGATCAAGAATTTTGGCAAATGTACAAAATGATTATTTCCTAATATTCCACATATACCAGAGTCATCATCTACTTTGACAGGAAGGTGCTGAACTGAATGCATTCTGCTATCTTTCTCCTCTCATAGCTTGCTTTGTGCAGTAAAACATTATATGAGCAGTGCAACTGTGTTTCTGGACTCCCTCATTTTTCCTTCAGAGCCATGTTGTTGGTCCCCAGAGTAAACTTAAGCCTCTGTCCACTGCTGCATCTTGAAGGATCTCGCATGTACCTCTTAAATTGAAGGCTGTAACCTTGGTTAAACAAGAACCGTGTGCTCACTTCATAACTCATGATGCTGTCTGTCTCCCGCCAGTTGCACACCATTCATGACACAAGGCCATGAGCTATCTTGACTGCACACAATGGACCAATCTCCTTCAAACACAAGTCTGTTTTGGATTACCTGTCTGAGTACACGACTCCCTGGAGGCATAAATATACATGTAATCCATCTGAGTGTGTCTCTGCATTCACACATGTTAAAGAACTAACTTAGCTTTAGCCAATTTTCATATGTTCTCAGGGAGCATGACCCTTAAACAGCAACTGGGATAAAGCTAAGCAAGTTTACAGCTAGGCCTATCTTGTGTCTTTTATTTGAAGTATCCCTCTTGGGCGTCATTTTAAATTTATCATAAATTAGGAGTGTGGGTTCAAAGAGCACAGGGAGACCAAGTGTTTGGGTGGAAATGTGGCATGCATGACATTTGAATGGACTCACTCATCATGCTGTAGCAAAGTAACACAATCGTAAGTCTGGACGACACCCAGCAGCTCATATAAAAGTCCTAATGAGGAACTGTCAGGGCCTGAGGTGAAGTGGTGTGATAAACACATTGGCCCTGATCGCAGATAAGGCCGCTGCCAGGGGAGTGGGCCTGCTTTCAAGTGGAGATGAAAGATGAGGTAAAACAATAGATTCAGAGTGTTCAGAGCTGGGTCAGTGGAAGGACATGTCAAAACTTGCTAGTAGGTCTACTTTAAAAAAAATAAAATCTGCTGTACCCTGGCCCAGCTGTCTTGTTTTTCCACATATAAAAATAGATTTGTCTGTGACACTCCTTTGAGTTAAATGCAGCTTTGTGTGATGTCGTACAGATGACACAGTGTACGATAACAAGATGAAAAACAGAGCTTGCCATGGTGTAGAGAACAAACTTGGGTTTTGCATGGACATAACAAGATCAGGCTAAGCCTGCTATAAAACACTGAGTGGGACTTCAAAACACATGAGTGAGATTTGTAGAAGCCCAGTGTGATGTCCAGGCAATGCAGCCAGACACAGACGAGCCTTTAGAAAGGCTGGAGCTGAGGCTCAGACAGACATACTTCACATGTGGGGTGACTCGTGAGCATCTGGCTCAGGGTTTGCTGGTGTCCTTGTTGTATGGTTTAGTGATCACATGGGGGCCAAACTGTTAGAACCAAAGGTTGAAATGACCCAGGATGATGTGGAATAGCAGGTTTAATGCATAATTCCTGGTTGAATCCTTGAACTTCCCTGTATGATACTCACATAACTTTCAAAAGTAGATTTTTATTGATATTTCCGATAAAGTACAGAGACGTGATTGTACGTCACTTGTTTATTTCAATTATCAATAGCTTATTTTTCATATACTGCAGCCTCTCACTGCTTTTAGCTAATGGTGCTACTCCAGAAATACCCTTTTTTGTCTTTCTCCTCATAAAAAGTCAATAAAGTTGTGACGTTAATGCTGCTGTTAACGTGGGATCGCTTCACTCTCAGAGGTCTAGAAAGACACGAGAAAAACAGGAGAGGAGAGGAAAATGAGAAACTGTCTTCAAAGAAGAAGAAACGTGACATTCAAAGAAGAAGAAACATGACATTCAAAGAAGAAGAAACGTGACATTCAAAGAAGAAGAAACATGACATTCAAAGAAGAAGAAACATGACATTCAAAGAAGAAGAAACATGACATTCAAAGAAGAAGAAACGTGACATTCAAAGAAGAAGAAACATGACATTCAAAGAAGAAGAAACATGACATTCAAAGAAGAAGAAACATGACATTCAAAGAAGAAGAAACATGACATTCAAAGAAGAAGAAACGATGACATTCAAAGAAGAAGAATGACATTCAAAGAAGAAGAAATAATTAAGAAGAAACATAATTCAAAGAAGAAGAAACGTGACATTCAAAGAAAATATGACATTCAAAGAAGAAGAAACGTGACATTCAAAGAATTCTCAAAATGAAATTAATGAAGAATTCTATCATTCTAAAAGTGGCAGCCTGTCACCAAAGAGCCAATAAACAGCTCAAACAGGAAACACATGAACTCTCTAGTGGGCCGACGTGGAATGTGTAGCAGCTACAACATGAATTTAGATTTGTTCCGCTGTCTGGTGGGAGACACCAAAGATGTTGCTCCTGTTAGTGTGTCTTTTGTCATGTCTCCCTCCCATCACCTCCAACTGGTTCCAACAGTTGGCTGCCCCTCCCTGAGCTTGGTTCTGCCAGAGGTTTCTTCCTGTTAAAAAGATGTTTTTCCTTCCCACTGTCACCAAGTTCTCGCTCAAAGGGGTTCGTCTGATTGTTGGGGTTTTCTTTGTATTATTGTCGAGTCTTTACTTGACAATATAAAGCACCTAGAGGTGACTGTTGTTGTTATTCGGTGCTATATAAAAAACTGAATTGAATTAAATTTAGTGCCATTTTGTTCCTACACCCGCTAATTGTGTTGTTTAATCACCATGAAGCCAAATTTAGTGAAAAGCAAACAAAGCATATCTGCACAAACACCTCATAACAACTATCAAGCATGGTGGGTGGTGGGTGGTGGAGGGATGATGATTGGGGCTTGTTTTGTTGTCACAGGACCTGCGTATCCTGTAAACACCTTTGTATACTAGATCTTTCTAGAGGCAAAGCTTGACTCAGCCAGACTCATGCAAGAGGACAATAATCTAACGCTCACCAGCAAATCTGCAAGTTATTGTTATTTCTTCTAAAGGTGATTGTACAAGGTGTTGAAGCATGGGGCACATTTACACAGTTTCAGCATTTTGGCCTCATTT